TTGTTTATTTTCAACAGTCCGCACAACCTGATCAAGGACACTGTCCTTCTAATGTAATGAACTGTGATAAGATTTATCTCTGAAAAATCCTCCAAGAAAATGATTTACAGAAAGCCTACAAGTAATTTAGATAACATTAGGGTCATTCCATATAAGATAAGCCAAACTTTCATTGGTGATCATCTCAGATTTTCCTGAAATTTACACCCCTTATAGGTTTAATGGAAAAAAAAATTTCCCTAAAATTTAAACTCATTATCTTGAAGCATTCTAAAATTATGGCAATTTGAAAAATTAGTTACTTGCCTGTTTTAAGCAATTTGTCTTCTTTAAAAAATTACTTTTTTCAAATTCATATAAATAAAAAACCAATTACCTTAAATACTTAAATATCAATCTGATAGCAGTAGTCTACCTCAACTTTCAAAAAAATAAAAATTTATTTTACAAAAGTATTCATTTTTGGCCATCTTGGACTTCAAAGTTATAAAAAAATATACTTTAAATAAAATATTTCAATATTAATAAAGCAAGTAAAAGCAGAATACACAAGCAAATGTGAAAATTATGTTATTTTGTGAGAATATAGGTGGTAGTCATCATTCCTGATAAGTTTTGTAACATTGGATTCAAAATTATGAAAGTTAAAATCCCCTTAAAAAAGCCTCCAGCCTTAAAATGGTAAAATTAGGTCCATTTAAGAACCGAAAATTAACTGGGTGTCCAGTAAATTTAACACTTGAAATTTTTAGGAATGTATCTTCAATATAAGAAGAAAAAATACAAAAAAAATAATTTTGGGATGTCTTGTAGTTGCTGAGATATTTGAACTTAAACTTTCTATCATAATTGGATTCTGGAATTCATAATCAGCCATTTTGAATTTGTTATGTAGTCAATATCTTTAAGACCGATGAACTTTTTAATGTAAAAATTGAAACTATATAAAAAAAGATGAAATTATTTAAAATAATAAAATCAATGATGAAACTACTACATCATACATTCTGACTGGTTCTGAAATTGCAAATAAAACATTCAGGATGTTGGGTTGTTCTCCCTTTAAATCAGTGTCTATTTGAGACAAACCCAGTTAAGAAAAAAAAAGTTAAAGGTTTCAAATTCTTGCCAAACATTAATTTCAAATTATTTGGGAATTTCCGATGATGAAATTTCCACTAGTTGCTCAGTAAACAATGAATATTTGAAATTAACAACACCTATTAACAACAAACAACAGAATACTTTTCTGTACCAAAGTTAGTGGTTAAAAAAAGCTCGTAAAGTAAAGGCGTCTAGAAGTATCTTAGGAGAGTGTAAAATCAGCTTCGTTCAAAGTTGATTACTTATGTTGTGTCCAGTAACATTGAATATAAAGAACTTTTATCAAAAACAACATGTGACATTGAGAATTGCAGCTGTATGCCTCATAGTTGTGATAACTGCCCCTTATGTAGAAAAGTTAAAATAGTATATAAGTGATATCTTCAATCAACATGTTTTTGAATATGAGGATATAGTGCCATACAAACAGTGCTTCAAAAAGGAGAATGCTATTAATTTGGTAACTTTAGAACTTCTGATGAGGAGTTTCTTGAAGAAATTGTTTTAACAATTGAAAACATGCGATCACACCATTTTATTTCAAAGCCACAGTCCTTATCCCTTCGAATTCTAAAAAAAATCTTTCAACAAAACCAAATTATTATTTTGCTTGATTTTGTAGAAAATTATAGTTTTTTAGCACAAGATGCAGTCCAAGGATTTAATTGGAATAATAGCCAAGCAAGACTACATCTGTTGCATTTATACTACATAGATTTTGAAAATAAACTCAAACCAATAAACTATTTCATAATATCTGTAAACATGATACTAAAGCTCTAAATGCATTTTTAGCTAGAGTTTTAGAAGATAATGCATTTTTAGCTAGAGTTTTAGAAGATATAAAAATTGTCTTGCCAAATTTAACCTTATGTTATTACTTTAGTGATGGAGCAGCTATCCAATACAAAAACTATAAAACTCTTAGCAATCTATGTCATCATTTTTAAGACCACGGAATACGTGCAGAGTGGCACTTTTTTGCAACAAGTCATGGTAAAAGTCCATGTAATGGCATTGGCAGGACCGTAAAACGACTTGTAGCAAGGATTAGCCTACAAAATAACCAAATATTATCAGTCACTGAAACGTTTAAATGGTGTACTGAAAACATAAAAGGTATTAAATTCATTAGTATTTCTGAAACTAATATAACAGATCATATAGAAAATGCTTGATGACTGCTACTCTAGTTCTAAAAAATTTCCAGCAATGCGTTCGCATCACTGTTTTATACCATGTAATGATACCATGTAATGATGGGAAGCTAGAAATGAAAAGTATATCAGGTGATACATGTTTTGCAATTTGAAAAAGACCAGACTACAGACCACATAGGTGATTTGCATGCTGGAATATATCTTGCATTATCTATGATAATGAACGGTACATTCAGATTTTTTTTTTTTAGTTAATTCACCTCCTCAAGGCCGAGAAGGCCACTACAGACAAGGAGGCTACTTATTTGTGGTTATAATCCTCTCTCAATTCTATAACTCCAAAACATGAACCTTGACAAACAAGGCAGCTGCGCAGAGAAATGCACGGTTGAGCACGGTATTACCAGGGACATGGTGGGGATCAAACTCGGAACCTTTTGCTTATGAAGAGAGCGCTCTACTACTACACCACTACCCCACCACTACCAAATTGTCCAAGAAATTGCAGATGATTCAGATATTTATATAAAATTTATGCAACAAAATGGAGTAAATTTTTAATGGGCCAGGCAAGATGGGTCCTGTTGTAAGTGTTTTAAAAAGTTCATCGGTTTTTAAAAATATTGACTATATAACAG